TCGAGGGAAACAACTTTTGGATTTGAGAGGTTTGGAGCGACACGGAGCGGTATAAGGTGTTTTTCATGATTGTTGTCAAACGCCAACAACCGCTACCACCCGCAAACGCAGCGTTTGTGGGTGCTAGCAGGTGAACCAATCAACACCTTAGGTGCGACAAAGTAGTTGGATTCACTTTTGACACGTGGACTCATGCTTCCTCCAATGGCATATTGAGTCCATCCTTGGTAATAGTTATTTGCCACGTGTGCATATCCATGTCGGACCCTTCAAACAATGTTTCTTATGGTTAAGGAAAAATAAATAACTTTTTTGGGGTTAGTAATTAGGATTAGGCAAAATGTAATTAACACGAACCTTGGCATTCTCTGGTTACAGTTAGGACCAAAGTGGTTAAACACAACAGTGACTCTCATCTTTTTATCTCTTATGTAACCATCGTCGTGTCCTAAAAGCATGACCTTGTCTTGGTTCCTAAACCAATTGTTGGACACGGTGACGTCAGTCGTCCCTTTTGTGACGTCAAGAAGACCATCTTGACAATCGTAGAGTGTGTTATGATCAATCCACACTTTTCTTGCAGTGATTAACCCAATCGCGTCACCATCAACTTGACCTAGCTCGATGATCTTTGAGTCTGGTCCCATCACTGAGCTTGGTGGATGCGGTTTACAATCATGGATCTTCAAGCCATGTATGATCACATCCGTGGCCTAACAACCATATCCAAAAACCAAGTAAAAACTTTATGATCAATATCTTAGATGTATTTTTTTATGTATTAGCGAAAATATGTATACCTGATAGACGAGGAGGCAAGCAGGACCAGAGATGTGTACGCTAACACCGCGACCATCAAGGGTAGTGAAGCTACTAATGAGAAGTGGTTTATAGAGATTGATCTTCATGTTTCTTTTGAAAGTGATCCATTTTTTTCCTTTGACTAATGTTGCTCCAAATCTCAAAGTCCCGGGTTTAGGGTTTAAAGGATCATCAGAAGGATCAGTTACCTTATAATGTGTAACACCTCTACCGATATTACCTATCATTTTTCCTGCAAATCCGACTGAACATTGAGCAAGTTGTTGGCGAAATCGACGCCAATGCGGATTTGGTCTCCAACACTTGTCCATAACATTTAGTTTCGTGGTAGCAGCTTCAAGGGCAACATTTGCAATAAAAATGACGAGCACGAGTTGGATTAAGGCGATTTTGAACAATTTAACCATTTTATCTTGGTTTGATTAAATGATATACAGTACGAATTTAAAAAGGTTGTAAATCGATGTAGGTTAAAAATGAAGTTTAAATGTTGTGTGGTTTGAAGAAATGATCATTGGTGTATGGTTTATATAGAGAAACATGAGAGTAAAGTTCGTTTTTTGTTTTCGGTTTTAGTTCTTGTAAAACTTGAGAAGTTAGAACAACTTGAAGCAAGATTCTAAAAGAGATTGATGTTTATTGGGTCTCTTAAAATTGTTGGGAACTCTTTTTTTTGTTTGTTACTATTTTTGGCATTAAGATGTTGGGTTCATAGTGATTAGAAGCTAGACATGTTAATTTTACATTAAAAAAAATGGATTCAAGTTTTTAATTTGTTTACATTAGCATCTAATTTAGACGATTTAGTTATGTGTTTTTACCAAAACATATAAAAATTTGATATTTAGTTATGATTTTATCACCTATATACACAAGTGAAAGTGTTTACTAGTGATTTGCTTAAGGGTCAATACCATCATCATATCATGTCAAGAAATGCTTGAGGTTCGGTTGCATAATAATAGTGATAATAATTGTTGTTGAACTGTTTCCGCACTTCTCTATTAGCTGATGTTCTTGCAAGTTTTTGTTATAAACCACACAAAATGCATAAACTTAAACTTCTCAAACCAATTGACCAATTGACAGAACATGAGAACAATGACATAACCGTTGCAAACCTTCTCAAGACCAGAATTCGAAACTGATTAAGTCCTTTGTTGATTCCATAAGTTGCTGCTTTCTGATTATATATTGATTATATACAGCTAGTAATTATTCTTCACCTTTAGCCTTCTCTCCTTTCTTATCCTTCCTCCTCCTCTTCTCAGCAATCTTAGCATTGAATTCTTCTCTTCTCTTATGTTTCTTACTTGGGGCATTCTCTTGAAGAGATAAAAATGATCTCCAGGTCCACACAAAGTCCACCCCTTTCCCAACCTTAGGTATCTTAGGTGGTGGTTTTTTATCATTTCCACTATATTCCTCATTAGGAAGATAAGCTACCATCGTGGTATGGTTTGCGTCATGCAATTCTTGTACAAGGTCTATGAATCCTTGATCACCTGTCACAAGCATTACATTTTGTTGCTTGTGACCGTTTGCAATCCATTCCTTAATCTGCTTTCTAATCTCATCATCAGCCGATTGGTCGTTTTTCCTGGGAAAACTAACAAAAAAATGAGACAAAGCTTTGAC